TTGTTTACTAAATAATGGTTTTATATGTTTTGAAATATGGTACATTGAAATCTATGGTTTATTATTGTTGGTACACCGATTTATTGTTGATGATTTATGGACTTTGATGACTGGTATATGGATATTGATTTTGGGATGATTGAACTACAATTGTATAGCTCTGATCAAGCTAATAAACGGGCCTAATGTGACTCTTGAGGGCCCCAAGATGTTTCATTAGGTCGGCTTTCCTTTGCTGTGTGCTTAGGGTAAGCTATATGGACTTATTGACTTGGGCTTAAGGATACAGGCTTCATAGCTTATCTTTAAGTCGACTTTCTTTTTGCTATGTGCATAAAGTAAGCTATATGGAAAATAATTTTGGGAACTACTGATGGTGTACCAGAAAAGGGTTTAAACTATGATTTTCAAAAGTTAAACTCTTTTACGAATTTGTGAGATTTACTGGACTATGATTTGTTTAATGTACCTATTGTGATTTTATGGTAATGTTGGGACACACTGAGCCTAACTCACCTTTCGAAAATGTTTTTCCCCTTTCAGATACTGTTGGTTAGATACCTCGGTTCGAGCACTTGGAGGATCAACATATCTCTTGAAGTATATCTGATTGTAATATTTTAAAATTGCAAGTTGACTTTATTCTGGTGACATGAACTTATTTTAAAGTATTGGATTTTATAATGATGATACTTTTGCTATTACTATTCAGTTTATCGTGGTTTTGATTTTTTTAAGACATGTTTTAAATTAATTTATTACTGATTGGTTTTATATTTAAAAGTTGAGTTTTAAATAGTATAATTTATTATAATTTCATGTCATGAATAATGTGGTTTTACATTGATTAGATAACGGTTTTGGAAAATGTCTTTGTGATCCACTAGACTTAGTCGAAACGCATAGGTCGGGTCTAGGGGGTTACACCACTGCTGACCAAATGTGGGAGAAAAGAATAAGAATAATAATAAGGTGGTTAATGGGGTTAGGTGCCACATCAGCAAAAACTAACAGAGGTAACAACAGGGGCTTTATTGGAACGAATTAAAAGTTCGATGATTGTATTACAAGTTTCAAAAGTTGGGTGATCAAAATGCAAGCGCCCTAAAAGTTGTGGGACTATTTATATGTTTTACCCTAATTTTAATTAGTTCCTAAATATATCTTAGTACAAATCTGTTTAAGAATATTTTAGGCTTAATTATGGTTTTATCCTTTAATTACATGAAATTTAAAATATATCCTTCTATTTTAATTTAATATAATAGGATTCTCGATTTTTTATAATACTATCAGTATATCCAAATCGATAACACAGATTATTATTTTTCATCAAAAAAAAAAAATATTATTATATTAACGAGAAAAACTAATAATATTATCCATATTGGCCAATATTGTGAGAATTGAATCAATAGTCGAAATCGATTACACCATCAATTCTCGGTTTAACTAGTTAATTAGAAACTAATGAAAAATTAATTAAAAATAATAAACAATTCAACCGCAATGAACATTGATTATATTAAGGGTAAACTACATATTTAGTACTTAAACTATCAGTTTTGATCCGTTTTAGTACCTAAACTTTTAATTTTTTTCAAAATCATATTTAAAGTTTAATTTTTGTTTAATTTTTAGTCCCAAAACTTAATTGTTGAAAAAATTAAAAATTTAGGTACCAAAACATGTTTAGTACCTAAATCATACTTAAGTTTAAAAAAAATGAAAGTTTAGGTACTAAAATAGATAAAAATTGATAGTTTAGATACTAAACGCATTAAATTTTTAACGATGAGTACTAAAATAAAACAAAAACTAAATATTACGTATAATTTAAAAAATTAAAAATTTAAATACTAAAATAAATCAAAATTAATAGTTTAAATATTAAACACGTAATTTCTCTTATATTAAACAAAAAGGATTAAATTTCAAATTTAGCAAAAAGGACAAAAAAATATATATATATATAAATATAAATATGATTCCTAAGAGATCCTCGTTTTCCTTCTTTTTTGAATAATTTGACCAGCTCCTCTCTCACTGATTCCCTGCCTTTTATTCAAAACCCTATCTCATCTCAATTTGAGATCTCAAAATCACGGATACTCGATCTTTTCTATTTAAATTCAGGTAATAACTATTATAATTTGATCATAAATTTTGTTTTCGTTTTGACGATAAGTCGCCGTTTCTTTGGATATCTGTGTGAAGAAGGTTGATTTTTTTGCTTGGTTTTGATTTTTGAATCCTGGACATTGATCTAATATGGATGTCAAAATTTAAAAAATTTTCTTCAAAATTTTGGGTTTTGCATGTGTTTGATTGGGATATTGTATTTTTTTAATCTATAAGGAGCCTAATAGATTCGGATTTTTTGGGTTAACTTGGATCTTTTTTTTTTGGTTCCTTGAATTGTTTGATTATTAGGATTTAGGATGCCCTTCTTAGTAGTGTTAGGTATGGTTAGAGCGAGTGAAATTGATAAATATCTTTCATTAGAAGGGAACTATAGTAAGATCAAGCATCTGAGGAATGGATTACCTTGGTAGGGTAAATCGATTGACGAAATTCTAACCTGTTGCTTTTTAAATCTTGTTTTGAGCCTAAAGGTTCAAACTTCTATTTTTATGCCTTAAAATTAAGGGAAAACAGATAAATAGTAGTAGTAAAATTTTGCAAAGAATTGTTAGAAGAGAATTTTGATTTTTTTTTTTATTTCAGCTATTATTATGTGGCAATTTCATTATTACAAATGCTGAATTTCTGACTTTTATCAGGTTTACTTCAAAAACAGATAAATAAGGAATGTCTTTTACACAGAATTGTCGCTTGCAAGGAGGCATTTTTCAGGATGATTACCGGTACCCTTTGAATAGAAATAACTACAATAGTTACAGTTCCGATATCTACAGGAGAAGGAATGGGAACTGGAGTAGTGACACTACCAGGATTTTTAACCATGCCCATGAGTACTTTGGGCAGTTTGGGGATCATAATAGAGGTTATCAGCATGCATAACCAAATTTTGTTCCTTTGAAAAGAAGAAAATTTTCTGATGCCACTTGGGGAGACAGTGGCAGAAACTACCTGCCATATAGCATGCATTGCCTTGCTGCTCCATTGGAATCCAGCAATTTCATTCCTCCTATAAGATCTAATGCTGAACCCTCTACATCTGTCAGCAATAACGTGATAGGTCATGGTTGGATGATGAGGAATCCGTCTTCATGTCTAAGGATGAGATTGAGCGATGTTCACCTTCAAGAAGAGATGGTATCGATGCACTTCGTGAAACGCACCTACGCTATTCTTATTGTGCCTTCATTCAGAACCTTGGTTTGCAGCTTGAATTGTGAGCTATCTATCTTGGATGCTATTTCGTTTACCTTATTCTTAGAATTATTTATGCAATTTTCCTTGTCATAATCAAATCTGTATTGTGTTTGTAGGCCACAAACTACCAATGGTACTGCCATGGTACTATGCCATCGGTTTTTTGTTCGAAGATCACATGCTTGCCATGATAGATTTGTGAGTTTCAAATACTTATGCTCAAGGAATTTATTGCTCCCTTATTTATGAAAAATTATCCTTTACACCACAAGTGTAGTTTTCAAACTTCAAAAGCAGCTGACTTTAAAGGTTAACAATGATTTAAGATTATGTTATAAGCATAAGAAAAAAATTTGTTGTTTGTGTAACTTAAGTTATGTTCCGATCTTTAGACACCTTTTTATTACTAAATGCTATTCTTAAACCTTTTGTAAGGTTGATGTTCTCTTGCTTGCTTGACCTTATTATATTTTCAATCTTGATTGTTTTCACACATATATTCTTAAATATTTAATTTATGAAGCTATTGAGGTTTAGGTCAAGTTGTATTTCACCATTTTTATCACCTCAAGGGAAGTTTTTATTTCTTTATTTTAATTTTAAAAAAAAAGATTTTATAAGTGATTTGTATGTGCTAGTTGTCTTAAAATGAAAATGTCAATGAGCATAAGCAGGGCCATATATGCTAGTTGACTAACATATTGACTCTGTTGCAGTTGATTGCTACTGCTGCGATTTTCCTTGCTGCAAAGTCTGAGGAGACGCCTCACCCTTTGAACAATGTGTTGAGATCTTCCTGTGAAATATTCCATAAGCATGATATTACATTCTTATCTTACCTGCTCCCTGTTGTAAGTACTCTGCAAGTTTTGATTTTTCCTTGCTAAGAAATGTAGAAAGGATTAAGCTCTTTAGCAGGGTAAAAGTGAAATGCTTTTAAATATATTTTACTTTTGATTATTTTCATCCTTGAAAAGCATATTCCAACCATGATTAGACTGCATCTTAGTGGCAGTGAAGCAAATTTGGATGAAATTCATGTGTATCAACTAAATGTTAGCTTAGACTCAACTTCTTTTGTTTAAGCATTAAATTGTGCATTTACAGTTCAAAACGTTTAAGAGACAGCATGTAATTGATCCTGCATTAGCATGCTTCAGAAATATAACATATTATGGCTTACATAAGAGAGCTCACTGTTGTCCCTTGTGTTGCAGAGGCAAAGGGAAAAGAGTGCGATGTTATTTTTCATATGCTGACAGTAAATGAGTTGTTTGTTGAACAGGATTGGTTTGAGTAGTATCGGGAACGCGTGATTGAGGCAGAGCAAATGATTTTGACTACCTTAAATTTTGAACTTAACGTGCATCATCCATATGATCCTCTTACTTCCGTTCTTAATAAACTAGGCCTTTCACAAACTGTCTTGGTAAACCTGGCATTGAACTTGGTCAGTGAAGGGTAAGATTATCTCTAATTCTTCAATGTTACTGAATTTTTTATTTGAAGTTAATTTTACAGGTGCAATGTGTTTGTAAGGATTAGTTCCGTTAGTTTTAGAAGTAAAACTGACTACTGCATTTGAACTTCACCTTGATGTGATACACAATGGTCTTGTTACATGTGCAATGATTATGATCCTTCTGCCTTTTCAGGTACCAATTTGGTTTAGTTATTTTGTTGTGATGTTTGAATTATTTCGGAGTAATCTAAGAATAATGCTCATATATTGGGATGTGTTTTGTGGCTATGATTGAGTAGCTTTTCATGCATTTGGAGTAATGGGTGTTGCAGTCCCCACAATCAGCTGGTTTTGTGGGGTTTTAAATTTAGAGGGATTTTGGGTGGGTGTGTCCAATGCTGTCCCTATGAACTGGTTCAAAAAATTGAGTTGGGTGTGAAGAAGGTTGTGCAGGTTATCTTCTTTCATATTGCCCAAAAATCTGTACTGTCCATAATTTTATTCCTTCCCGCTGCTACTATAGAAAGCTATCTTGTGTGGCATATTGATTCTTTTGGCAAGTCATATAATTGCAGGGCCATTACAAGATTAGCATGCACACCTGTATGATATTTTTAGCTGGCGGATTGATGTGCTGTTCATGGAAAGTTTTGTTTTTACATCTGAAGTTGAATTGCCAATTTTAATCCCCATCAACTTGGTCATGGCTATGAAAGCCACATGACCAAAAGAAACAAGTCTTATTATTTTACATTTTAACCCTTTTTTTTATAGTTAACTTGATTAGAAACCACTCGTCTGGAGTCCATACAAACTTTGAGTTTGTGAAATCTGGCTACCTCCCTCTTCTTGTCCATTATTACCTGCAGAAAAATTATTGACTTGGATGAGTCAGTTGTTGGTTCTTTCCTTTTCTTTAAATGTTATTCTATTGATGGTTCCCTAGTTGTGAAATCATGGTTTATTATTGTCACCCTACCTTTTTCCCCTTGAAAATGGAGTTATTGGCATGGAATAAAAACTGGACCCCTTAAAAGATCATTTTTCTTTATGCATATATAGTTGTAAAATTTTATTTGTAACACTTTTAGAAGAGAGGCTTCAGGTTTGATTTTTCTAATGGCAGTTGCATTCTGATGAAAGTTAAAACCAGTTTTCAAGAGTTTCTTATTATTTAGAAGCTTTAAGTTTTCCATTCTTAATTATGAGTACCCGTTAGATGTCTAACCATTTTTGTTTGGGTTTCACACAAACTTAGAGTTTGCATGCACATGTTGGAATTTGAACTAGCATGCGGTATCAATCATTGGGGATGGGTTAGATGCTAAAAATTAACTGCTCTTCAGGTAGCATGGCATGTTGCAACCATATTCCATGTTGAAAATCCTTAAATTAAGGAGATTCTCTACCTTAGTTCTAGGAATTTCCTTGTAAATATTAGTTATAATCTAATTACTGATTTTTAGGGATAGGCTTATTATTAGAGATTATTTCCTTGTAAATATTAGAGATTATTTCCTTTTTTATTTTTTTTCTGCTATGTTAAAAAGAGTGTACTCCTATTCGAAGAAATTAGAGACTTTTCTTCTTCCTAAATCTGTTTATGGTATCGAGAGCAGGGTTTCAAATCGCGGTCGCGGTCGCGTTTTCGGTTATTTCGGATTTACCGTGATTGCGGTCGTCGCGGTCGCTATTGCGGCCGTCGCGGGTAACTCAGACAACGGCGAAATCGCGATCGCGGACCGTTTTTTGAAACCCTGATCGAGAGTCATAGGATTCATTCGATCCTACTCATTTGTCTCTCATCTCTCTTCCTAAATATATTTTTCTTTTTTTCTTCTCTCATGGGTGATATCAATGAAACCCTCTCTAATTCCGGTTCAAATAGGCCATGGTGTAGCCACTGTAACCCGGGTTGGACATACCAAGGAGAAATGCTTTAAACTCCATGGTTATCCTAAAAAAAATCAGAAAGAAAACAAGGCAGCAATGATATCTACTACTGAAGAAGATGCCCAGGATGTTCGGTTCACCAAAACTCAACTTGAGGCTCTTCATAAACTCCTCGGGACTCTTACAACCATTGGATCACTAGCTATTCAAGGTACTGCCTTAAATACTACTCATGAACCAATCTGGATACTAGATTCGGGTGCATCCAACCACATGACAGGTAATATAAGTTTGTTTCACACATATTTACCTTGTCATGATCAGGCTGGAATTGAAACGATCATACTTACTGAAAATTTTTCCATTGATAAAGTTTTATATGTTCCAAATCTTTCTTGTAATTTACTCTCAATTAGCAAGCTTACCAAGAATGAGAAAGTACTTGTTGAATTTTCTGCTTTCGGTTGTGTGGTTCAGGAACAGGAATCGGGGAAGATGATTGGCACTATTAAAGTTGATGATGGCTTATATATTTGGAATAATAGACATCTTCTAGAGGTTACTAGGTCTCTTATGTTTGCTGCTAATGCTCCTAAGTATCTTTGGGGGGAAGCTCTTCTTACAACCACTTACCTCATCAATAGAATGTCAAGTAAGACCTTAGATTTCAAAATTCCTATTAAGGTTCTGTTTCAGTTGTATCCCAATTTTAAACATTTAAACTCAAGTCTTTCTCCTCGGGTGTTTGGGTGTACAACCTTTGTTCATATTCACAACAGAGGGAAATTAGATCCTAGGTCCATAAAGTGTGTGTTCTTGTGCTATTCTTCGAGTCAGAAGGGTTACAAGTGTTACTCACTTTCCACAAAAAAGACCTATGTCTCCTTTGATGTTACATTTTTTGAAAACCAATCTTATTTTTCAGGAACAGAAATTCAGGGGGAGAGTTACAAGGAATTTCAGCCTGTTTAAACCGATATTTCTTTACAGCCTATTAGTTACAAGGAATTTCAACCTGTTCAAACCGATATTTCTTTATAGCCGATCATTTCCTTACCTATTACTGTCTCTCCAAAGTCGGCTAGCACTGTCCAGTTCCTAGGGAGGGTAATGGGAATAACCTAAATAACTCTGATGAATTACCTTCCTCCTTATCTCATCACTCTAGTTCGTGCAAAACACCTTCCACCACTATCAAAAATGCACCTAACAATGACCCTGAAACCATAACTCCCCAACCGAAACAACTCAGTGTTTACTCAAGAAGAAGGAAAGATGCTGCTGAAGAAATCAGTCAGCCTAGCATTTGCCAAGAACCAGATTCGGATCCTGTTGCAGCTGAAACAGAAGGTAATGATGGTTACCAAGAGGCTACTACTGTTGATCTTGATGACTTTCCTATTGCTATTAGGAAGGGGGTAAGAAAATGCACTGCTCATCCCATAAATAAGTATGTTGCATATGGGAAATTAGAGTCTAATTTCAGGGCCTTCACTGCCAGCATTAACGCTGTGAAAATCCCAAGAAATGTGACAGAAGCATTTCAATCTCCTGAGTGAAAAAAGGTTGTAGAAGAAGAGATAAAAGCGTTGCAAAAGAATAAGACATGGAGTTTGACAGATTTGCCAAAAGGGAAGAGAGCTGTTGGATGCAGGTGGATATTCACAGTCAAATATCATTTGGATGGGAGTGTGGAAAGATATAAGGCAAGGCTGGTTGTTAAAGGTTTTTCTCAATCCTCTGGTATCGACTACCAGGAGACTTTTGCACCGGTTGCAAAATTGAATACAATCAGACTATTGTTATCAGTAGTTGTTAACATGGACTGGAAATTGCATCAGTTGGACATAAAGAATGCTTTTCTGAATGGGAACCTTGAAGAAGTTGAAGAAGAGATATACATGGAGGTCCCCCCCCGGATTAGAAGGAAAGGTCACTAAGAAAATTGTGTGCAAGCTCAATAAATCCTTATATGGCTTAAAACAGTCTCCCAGGGCTTGGTTTGATCGATTTGCTAAGGCTATGACACAGAATGGTTTCAAACAAAGCCAAGCGAATCACACATTATTCAGAAAAATTACACCGAGTGGTAAGATAACCCACCTAATTGTCTATGTAGATATGAATATAACTGGCAGTGATATAGAAGAAATAGAAAAGCTAAAGATGAATCTTGCAAAGGAGTTTGAAACCAAGGATTTAGGGAGTATGAGGTATTTCCTGGGTATGAAAGTTGCAAGGTCCGAGGAAGGGCTGGTCATAAACCAACGTAAGTATGTTTTGGATCTTCTTGCAGAAACTGGGATGCTCGACTGCAAACCAGTTGAAACTCCAATGGAGTCAGGCTTGAAAATTTTCAAGGAAAGGATTGGAAATCCAGTAAACAAGGAAACCTACCAAAGTTTAGTTAGGAAGTTAATCTACCTTTCACTGACCATGCCTGATATTACATACTCAGTGAGCATTGTCAGCCAACATATGAGTGATCTTCGAGAAGAATGTCGAAACGATTTTTTTTAAAAGGTGAGATTTTGATATTTTAAAAACCACATTAATTTTTAACTTATCTCTTTTAATTTATTTTTAATTTAAAAATAAATGCGATTTAAAAGACCTCTCGTTTCAAAAAATTTTGGATTTCCTTTACGATCGAAAAATATAGTCCTAAGAGTCGCCACCAATCTTTGATTAGGGTGTGATTGGGCACCCAAAAATGTTTTGTCATTTTAAATAAAACTTAATTTTAATTAAAACAACAAATTGAGGTATGCGTTACCAAAAAATGAGTTCGGGTGTCGGTTACGTGTGGGGAAGGATTAGCACCCCCACAACGCCCTAAAACGGTACCTAATCGATTAATTAATGTCTTTGCAATTTGCAATGAACTTTACAAATTCGAATTTAATTTGATTTTTGATCCCATAAAACAAAGATGTAAATTTAAAAATATTCAAAAGCACTCAAATAAATTAAATTAAAATTACCAAGTCGTTTTAAAAAGATAAAGAATGTTCGAGTATTTACAAATATCGAGACCAGATCTTAAAAGCTATAACAACATTTTCTCGATAAATTTAAATAAACGAATATTTCCGTTTCTTTCGTTCCCAAATTTTAGGAGACGAATCAATTTTTGGTTTCACTTTCGGGATACACTTTTAACTTAAAATGGTCATAACGGCCCTCTAATCAGTTAAGACATGCCACTCAAGACAATTTTAAATTAAAAGGCTATTACCCTGGAAAAAGTGTGTATTTTAATTGCTTTCTCTGTTATTTTTTTTAATTCTGAGATTACACCCCTTTTTTCCTTTGTATTCCTTTACACTATGAAGTTGTTGATATCTAACAGGGTCCTCGGCTCCTAGTCCTTTCTTTTCTGAAATGCTTTCCTTGTGTGTGTTCTCCGGTTCTTCTGCTCGATCGTTCCTTTTTTCTTTTCTTTTTTTGTTTTTGATCCCTCTTTCCTAATGAAAAATGGTATCCTATACAAAACTGTTTTTCCTCGTTCTTATCACCCCACTTACAAACTGCTAAAAACCAACATTAACTTCTCTTTTTTTTCTCTACATGCAACTACTGTCCATTGGGCTTGAGACGAGCCTCCAGTTGGGTTGGACTCATTTGGGCTCGATTTGGGCTTGTTGTAAAGCCTGCAAGTAATAAAAACATAAGCAATATTAATAATAATACTAATAATAATTATAATTGTTATAATAATAACAATAATAGTTATAATATAATATTAATAATTATAATATAATATTTATAACCCGGACAAAAACGGGTGTCTACAAAGAACATTTGGAAGCTGTTAACAGAATTTTAAGGTTCTTGAAATTTATCCCAGGAGCAAGACTTATATTTAGAAAAAATCAAGACAGAACAGTGAAGGTTTATACGAATGCAAGCTGGGGAGGTGAATTAACTGATAGAAGGTCAGTTAGTGGCTACTGTATCTACGTTTGAGGTAATTTGGAGACTTGGACAAGTAAGAAACAAGCTGTTGTCTCTCGAAGTAGTGTTGAGTCAGAGTTTAGAGCAATGGCTCTCGGAATATGTGAAGGAATGTGGATTAAAAGACTGCTCACAGAACTGGACTTAGATGACAAGAAGAATTTTGAGATTTTTAGTGACAGTCAATCAGCTATGAGTATAGCAAAAAACCCAGTGCAGCATGATAGAACGAAACACATTGAGATAGACAGACATTTTATTTACGAGAAGGTCAACAATGGAGTTGCAAAACTGCAGTACATTCCGACGAAGAAACAGCTGACAAATATCTTCACCAAAGCCCTTCCACGAGTGACTTTTGATGAGATGTCATTCAAACTAGGTATATACAACATATATACACCAGTTTGAGGGGGAGTGTAGGAATTATAGAAATG